CTCAATAGTCATAACCCGGAACCCCCACCCATCAAAATTTTGAGGCGCCTCAATAGTCATAACCCGGAACCCCCACCCATCAAAATTTTGAGGCGCCTCAATAGTCATAACCCGGAACCCCCACCCATCAAAATTTTGAGGCGCCTCAATAGTCATAACCCGGAACCCCCACCCATCAAAATTTTGAGGCGCCTCAATAGTCATAACCCGGAACCCCCACCCATCAAAATTTTGAGGCGCCTCAATAGTCATAACCCGGAACCCCCACCCATCAAAATTTTGAGGCGCCTCAATAGTCATAACCCGGAACCCCCACCCATCAAAATTTTGAGGCGCCTCAATAGTCATAACCCGGAACCCCCACCCATCAAAATTTTGAGGCGCCTCAATAGTCATAACCCGGAACCCCCACCCATCAAAATTTTGAGGCGCCTCAATAGTCATAACCCGGAACCCCCACCCATCAAAATTTTGAGGCGCCTCAATAGTCATAACCCGGAACCCCCACCCATCAAAATTTTGAGGCGCCTCAATAGTCATAACCCGGAACCCCCACCCATCAAAATTTTGAGGCGCCTCAATAGTCATAACCCGGAACCCCCACCCATCAAAATTTTGAGGCGCCTCAATAGTCATAACCCGGAACCCCCACCCATCAAAATTTTGAGGCGCCTCAATAGTCATAACCCGGAACCCCCACCCATCAAAATTTTGAGGCGCCTCAATAGTCATAACCCGGAACCCCCACCCATCAAAATTTTGAGGCGCCTCAATAGTCATAACCCGGAACCCCCACCCATCAAAATTTTGAGGCGCCTCAATAGTCATAACCCGGAACCCCCACCCATCAAAATTTTGAGGCGCCTCAATAGTCATAACCCGGAACCCCCACCCATCAAAATTTTGAGGCGCCTCAATAGTCATAACCCGGAACCCCCACCCATCAAAATTTTGAGGCGCCTCAATAGTCATAACCCGGAACCCCCACCCATCAAAATTTTGAGGCGCCTCAATAGTCATAACCCGGAACCCCCACCCATCAAAATTTTGAGGCGCCTCAATAGTCATAACCCGGAACCCCCACCCATCAAAATTTTGAGGCGCCTCAATAGTCATAACCCGGAACCCCCACCCATCAAAATTTTGAGGCGCCTCAATAGTCATAACCCGGAACCCCCACCCATCAAAATTTTGAGGCGCCTCAATAGTCATAACCCGGAACCCCCACCCATCAAAATTTTGAGGCGCCTCAATAGTCATAACCCGGAACCCCCACCCATCAAAATTTTGAGGCGCCTCAATAGTCATAACCCGGAACCCCCACCCATCAAAATTTTGAGGCGCCTCAATAGTCATAACCCGGAACCCCCACCCATCAAAATTTTGAGGCGCCTCAATAGTCATAACCCGGAACCCCCACCCATCAAAATTTTGAGGCGCCTCAATAGTCATAACCCGGAACCCCCACCCATCAAAATTTTGAGGCGCCTCAATAGTCATAACCCGGAACCCCCACCCATCAAAATTTTGAGGCGCCTCAATAGTCATAACCCGGAACCCCCACCCATCAAAATTTTGAGGCGCCTCAATAGTCATAACCCGGAACCCCCACCCATCAAAATTTTGAGGCGCCTCAATAGTCATAACCCGGAACCCCCACCCATCAAAATTTTGAGGCGCCTCAATAGTCATAACCCGGAACCCCCACCCATCAAAATTTTGAGGCGCCTCAATAGTCATAACCCGGAACCCCCACCCATCAAAATTTTGAGGCGCCTCAATAGTCATAACCCGGAACCCCCACCCATCAAAATTTTGAGGCGCCTCAATAGTCATAACCCGGAACCCCCACCCATCAAAATTTTGAGGCGCCTCAATAGTCATAACCCGGAACCCCCACCCATCAAAATTTTGAGGCGCCTCAATAGTCATAACCCGGAACCCCCACCCATCAAAATTTTGAGGCGCCTCAATAGTCATAACCCGGAACCCCCACCCATCAAAATTTTGAGGCGCCTCAATAGTCATAACCCGGAACCCCCACCCATCAAAATTTTGAGGCGCCTCAATAGTCATAACCCGGAACCCCCACCCATCAAAATTTTGAGGCGCCTCAATAGTCATAACCCGGAACCCCCACCCATCAAAATTTTGAGGCGCCTCAATAGTCATAACCCGGAACCCCCACCCATCAAAATTTTGAGGCGCCTCAATAGTCATAACCCGGAACCCCCACCCATCAAAATTTTGAGGCGCCTCAATAGTCATAACCCGGAACCCCCACCCATCAAAATTTTGAGGCGCCTCAATAGTCATAACCCGGAACCCCCACCCATCAAAATTTTGAGGCGCCTCAATAGTCATAACCCGGAACCCCCACCCATCAAAATTTTGAGGCGCCTCAATAGTCATAACCCGGAACCCCCACCCATCAAAATTTTGAGGCGCCTCAATAGTCATAACCCGGAACCCCCACCCATCAAAATTTTGAGGCGCCTCAATAGTCATAACCCGGAACCCCCACCCATCAAAATTTTGAGGCGCCTCAATAGTCATAACCCGGAACCCCCACCCATCAAAATTTTGAGGCGCCTCAATAGTCATAACCCGGAACCCCCACCCATCAAAATTTTGAGGCGCCTCAATAGTCATAACCCGGAACCCCCACCCATCAAAATTTTGAGGCGCCTCAATAGTCATAACCCGGAACCCCCACCCATCAAAATTTTGAGGCGCCTCAATAGTCATAACCCGGAACCCCCACCCATCAAAATTTTGAGGCGCCTCAATAGTCATAACCCGGAACCCCCACCCATCAAAATTTTGAGGCGCCTCAATAGTCATAACCCGGAACCCCCACCCATCAAAATTTTGAGGCGCCTCAATAGTCATAACCCGGAACCCCCACCCATCAAAATTTTGAGGCGCCTCAATAGTCATAACCCGGAACCCCCACCCATCAAAATTTTGAGGCGCCTCAATAGTCATAACCCGGAACCCCCACCCATCAAAATTTTGAGGCGCCTCAATAGTCATAACCCGGAACCCCCACCCATCAAAATTTTGAGGCGCCTCAATAGTCATAACCCGGAACCCCCACCCATCAAAATTTTGAGGCGCCTCAATAGTCATAACCCGGAACCCCCACCCATCAAAATTTTGAGGCGCCTCAATAGTCATAACCCGGAACCCCCACCCATCAAAATTTTGAGGCGCCTCAATAGTCATAACCCGGAACCCCCACCCATCAAAATTTTGAGGCGCCTCAATAGTCATAACCCGGAACCCCCACCCATCAAAATTTTGAGGCGCCTCAATAGTCATAACCCGGAACCCCCACCCATCAAAATTTTGAGGCGCCTCAATAGTCATAACCCGGAACCCCCACCCATCAAAATTTTGAGGCGCCTCAATAGTCATAACCCGGAACCCCCACCCATCAAAATTTTGAGGCGCCTCAATAGTCATAACCCGGAACCCCCACCCATCAAAATTTTGAGGCGCCTCAATAGTCATAACCCGGAACCCCCACCCATCAAAATTTTGAGGCGCCTCAATAGTCATAACCCGGAACCCCCACCCATCAAAATTTTGAGGCGCCTCAATAGTCATAACCCGGAACCCCCACCCATCAAAATTTTGAGGCGCCTCAATAGTCATAACCCGGAACCCCCACCCATCAAAATTTTGAGGCGCCTCAATAGTCATAACCCGGAACCCCCACCCATCAAAATTTTGAGGCGCCTCAATAGTCATAACCCGGAACCCCCACCCATCAAAATTTTGAGGCGCCTCAATAGTCATAACCCGGAACCCCCACCCATCAAAATTTTGAGGCGCCTCAATAGTCATAACCCGGAACCCCCACCCATCAAAATTTTGAGGCGCCTCAATAGTCATAACCCGGAACCCCCACCCATCAAAATTTTGAGGCGCCTCAATAGTCATAACCCGGAACCCCCACCCATCAAAATTTTGAGGCGCCTCAATAGTCATAACCTGGAACCCCCACCCATCAAAATTTTGAGGCGCCTCAATAGTCATAACCCGGAACCCCCACCCATCAAATTTTTGAGGCGCCTCAATAGTCATAACCCGGAACCCCCACCCATCAAAATTTTGAGGCGCCTCAATAGTCATAACCCGGAACCCCCACCCATCAAAATTTTGAGGCGCCTCAATAGTCATAACCCGGAACCCCCACCCATCAAAATTTTGAGGCGCCTCAATAGTCATAACCCGGAACCCCCACCCATCAAAATTTTGAGGCGCCTCAATAGTCATAACCCGGAACGCCCACCCATCAAAATTTTGAGGCGCCTCAATAGTCATAACCCGGAACCCCCACCCATCAAAATTTTGAGGCGCCTCAATAGTCATAACCCGGAACCCCCACCCATCAAAATTTTGAGGCGCCTCAATAGTCATAACCCGGAACCCCCACCCATCAAAATTTTGAGGCGCCTCAATAGTCATAACCCGGAACCCCCACCCATCAAAATTTTGAGGCGCCTCAATAGTCATAACCCGGAACCCCCACCCATCAAAATTTTGAGGCGCCTCAATAGTCATAACCCGGAACCCCCACCCATCAAAATTTTGAGGCGCCTCAATAGTCATAACCCGGAACCCCCACCCATCAAAATTTTGAGGCGCCTCAATAGTCATAACCCGGAACCCCCACCCATCAAAATTTTGAGGCGCCTCAATAGTCATAACCCGGAACCCCCACCCATCAAAATTTTGAGGCGCCTCAATAGTCATAACCCGGAACCCCCACCCATCAAAATTTTGAGGCGCCTCAATAGTCATAACCCGGAACCCCCACCCATCAAAATTTTGAGGCGCCTCAATAGTCATAACCCGGAACCCCCACCCATCAAAATTTTGAGGCGCCTCAATAGTCATAACCCGGAACCCGCACCCCTCAAACCCCCTCGCCGTTCTCTCCTTCCTCTTCCCCACTTGCCCTTCTCCCCCCCTTCCTCCTTGCCTCCCAGTCTCCTTCCTCCGGGCAGCCAGCACGGTGGGCGCAGCAGCAGCTGCCAGCAAGGTCTTGGTAAGCTGTGGTGGGAGTCTGAGGGCTAAGAGTTATGGGGGGACAAGGGGCAGGGAGAATGAAGAGGATCATATTCCCGGGCAGGGAGAATGAAGAGGATCATATTCCCTCCCCACCTTCCCCCCCTCTCACCCCCACCCGAAATCCTCCACAGGGCCTTACGCGAGAGATGGTGCTTGCATCTGCCTTTGAGTGGCCGTGAGGCATGAAGCAAGGCATGGGGCATGGGGCATGGGGCATGGGGCATGGGGCAAGGCAAGGGACAATTTTAACTTTCTGATCACCTCCCTTCCTGTTTCTTCCTCCACAGGGCCTCACGCGAGAGATGGTGCTTGCTGCTGCGTTTGGCGTTGGTCCAGTCATGACTGCCTTCAGGTGCGCTCAGGTGCCTTCAGGTGTCCTTTGGCGAGCTCAGGCGGGCTCAGGTGGGCTCAGGCTGGCTCAGGTGCTTGCTGCTGCCTTTGGCGTTGGTCCAGTCATGACTACCTTCAGGTGCCTTCAGGTGCGTTCAGGTGCCTTCAGGTGCGTTCAGGTGCCTTCAGGTGCCTTCAGGTGCGTTCAGGTGCCCTTTGATTAGCTCAGGTTGGTTCAGGTGGGCTCAGGTCGGCTCAGGTTCTTCCTGCCTTCGGCGTTGGTCCAGTCATGACTGCTTTCAGGTGGGCTCAGGTGCCCTCAGGTGCCCTCAGGTGGGCTCAGGTGCCCTCAGGTGCCCTCAGGTGGGCTCAGGTGCCCTCAGGTGCTTGCAGGCGCCAGGTGCCTATCAGGTGCTTGCTTAGGTGTCGCAAGCCTCAGATTCTTGTATTTTCCTCTCTCACTCTTCAATCCCTCCCTTCCCTGTTCACTCTCTCCTCTCCACTCCCATCTCCCCCTTTTCCCCTCCCCCCCTTTCCCAGCTACGCGTCGCTCATTCCAACCTTCTGCCTGTCGCTGCTCGGAGGTCAGTTCAGTTCCCTTTACAGTCACGATTCATTTTCCACAGTGTTCACTTGAAATTCCCGATTCACTTCCCCCTACAGTCGTTCTCACTTTATTGTCACAATCCACTTTATACTGCCACATTCCACCTGCCCCACATATCCATGCCTCCTGTGCAACCTCCTTTCAGGTGTAAAGTGCCCCTTCCACAGTGGGTTGAAAGGATAAAGAGGATAAAAAATCACCTCCTGTCCTCTGCAACCCTCCTTTCAGGTGTAAACGGTCCCTTCCACAGCACAGCGCCATTGCTTCAGTCCCCGGATACCTCAACCTGGATACAACCCGGACACATCCATGCCTCCTGTGCCCCCATCCGTTCCCATCCACCCTCCCCTTTTCAGGTGTAAACGGCCCCTTCCACAGCACCATCGCTTCAGTCCTAAGGTACTTGGACTGGAAATGAGCAATTGTGCTAATGTAATGTGCCATCATGCCGACCTCGCGACAATAGATCGCTTTCAGGCGTTTGAGGATATGAAACTTAGAAGTGGTCTTTCTTTAGTGAGACGCCTTTATTGACTCAACCCACCACCAGCTGTAATTGCCCTCTCCCACCTCTGACCATGCCAACGCTTCTCACAAGATCTACGTGAGTTACTTTCGAAAATCTCAGCAGCAACTCGGACTCGGATGTAGCAAACCTCATAGTCTTTCGTCTGTCTCCCTCCAACCTGACTGATGTTTCCCGCCCGCCCAGCAAATCTGCTGAGAAGGATGCTGAGAAGGGTGCTGAGAGGAGCGACCAGAATGCAGCGAGGGAGCAACAGGAGCTGCTGGTTCTTGTGTCAGCGCTTGTAGCCCTGGTAATCCATGTTGCCACCTCCTCTCATCATTCGAATGGCTTGGTAGTAGGGTGCTTTGAGAGTAACGTCAATCGATACTCTGCTGCTCTTCCCCCCACTCTGTTGCAACAGCGAACAATCTCTGCTGTGCTCCTCTCCTATGGCTCTTCCCCTGACTCTCCCCTCCCTCTTTGCCCTCCAGGCGTCAATAGTCGCAGCCGTGCTGATCTTTCTCTGCGCACGGCCCATCATAGACCTTCTTGCGCCCGGGTAAGTAGTGCGTTTTTTAGGCGCCTGAAATGCAGACCTTCTTGCGCCTGGGTAAGTAGTGCGTTTTTTAGGCGCCTGAAATGCAGACCTTCTTGCGCCCGTGTAAGTCATGCATGAGTCGACTCAATAGTCGCAGCATTGCTGATCTTTCTCTACGCACGGCCCATCATAGACCTTCTTGCGCCCGTGTAAGTAAGGATGCTTGTAAACTCGACTCAGCCTCATGCTACACAGCATGACATTCGCCCTGACTCGCCATGTCGCCACCACCGCACACCGGTGGTGTGTGTGTGGCAAGGTGTGGTGGTGTGTGGCAAGGTGTGGTGGTGTGCGGTTCAGTGTCTGTCTCTCCACTTGGCAACCACGTGCTAGCTGTTTCTTCTGTCTTCCTCTCCCTTTGCGTTCCCCTCCCATTTCTCCCATTTCCTTTGGCATTTCCCCTTCCTCTCTGCAGCCTTTCTTTCCCTCCAGCAGCCCTCGCAAGCGATCCATCAGCAGTGGCATCATTCGCCCTGACTCGCCACGTCGCCATCTCACAGGCAAGAGCACGCATACGGCTACTAAGCAGTATAACAGTAGATTCGATTTCTCCCAAGTGCTGCTCACTGGGGCTCTTGCCTTGCAAGCGATCCATCAGCAGTGGCATCATTCGCCCTGACTCGCCACGTCGCCATCTCACAGGCAAGAGCACGCATACGGCTACTAAGCAGTATAACAGTAGATTCGATTTCTCCCAAGTGCTGCTCACTGGGGCTCTTGCCTTGCAAGCGATCCATCAGCAGTGGCATCATTCGCCCTGACCCGCCACGTCGCCATCTCACAGGCAAGCAATACGCATGCTGCTACCTAGCAGTATAACCGTACACTCAATTCCACCCAAGTGCCTCTCACTCGGGCCATCGTCAGTGATCCATCAGCAGTGGCATCATTCGCCCTGGCTCGCCATGTCGCCATCTCACAGGCAAGCAAGCACGCACACTGCTATGCCATCAGCAAACAGCACTCGCCGCTTGTAACTCTTTTTTTTATTCACCTTTGAAAACAGTCCAGTTTCTTTCTTTTCCGTCCAAACCTTGTGCCCCTACCCCACCTACAGCTGCAGCAAATGGCACCCTGCATCGCCCTCGCTCCTCTCATCGGCATTGGTTTCGGAACCCTCAGGTGAGTCTTCTCGGCGTGCCTCCGCCTGTCTATCTGCATGTTACCTCCTCCATCTCCTCCATCTCCTCCATCTCCTCCATCTCCTCCATCTCCTCCATCTCCTCCATCTCCTCCATCTCCTCCATCTCCTCCATCTCCTCCATCTCCTCCATCTCCTCCATCTCCTCTTGTGAGCTGGCTCAAAATCAGGTACTGTTTGCCTGATCAGCACCTGCCCCCCTGCATTGCCTCGCTCCTCTCATCGGCATTGGCTTCGGAACCCTCAGGTGAGCCCTTCGTTCCTGTTTGCCTGCCTGCCTGCCTGTCATCTCCTCCATCTCCTCTTATGAGCTGGCTCAATCACAGGTAGTGTCTGTGTGACCAGCAGATGACACCCTGCATTGCCCTCGCTCCTCTCATTGGCTTTGGTTTCAGAACCCTCAGGTAAGTCCTGAGAGAAGGTAAGTCCACTTCTGCGTGCCAGAGGCGAGTTTGCCGTCCCTCCCTCCCCCTCTCCCTCTCCCTCACTCTCCCCCTCCGCTGCCCCTCCCACTCCCGCCCCCCTCTATGTTTCTGCTTACTTCCCGTTGTTTTTTCACTTCATATTGCTCTTCAGCACCCTTCTCAATATCCCTTTACATCCCTCATCACCCCTTGGTTCTTTCTTCATTTCTCCCCGCCACCACCCATCCCACCCCACAGTGCACGAGGGGAGTTTGCCATTCCGTCCCTCTCCCCTTCCCTTTCCAGCCTCTCCGTTCTGGTTGGGGTAATTCCCTGAAGCCCTTAAAGCCCTAGAAACCCTTAAAGCCCTAGAAACCCTTTAAAGCCCTAGAAACCCTTAAAGCCCTAGAAACCCTTAAAGCCCTAGAAACCCTTAAAGCCCTAGAAGCAAAGGCTGTGCTTTCCGGAGAACCAATCCAGTCTCTGCTGGCGCTGTGCTTCTGCTTCTCAGTGCCAGCACCCTAAAGGGGAGTTTGCCATTCCGTCCCTCTCCCCTTCTCTCTACCGCATCTCAGTTGTGCTCGGGGTAAGAACCAAGAACGCATAGAAGGGGTAGGCAACGGTGTTCACAATGTGAGAGGGGAAATTTGCCATTCCGTCCCTCTCTCCCTCCCTCTCCAGCGTCTCAGTTCTGTTCGATGTAAGACCCTACAACCCAGGCCAATCTTCTGTCACTGCTTTTGCATCGCCCAGTGTTCCCAGTGTTTCTGGTCCCTCCTAACCTCACATTTCCCCAAGGCCCATCTAATGCCGTCCCCACGCTCCCCTCCCTCTTGGTTGACACCCCCCTCCTCCTCCTCCTCCTCCTCCTCCTCCTCCTCCCCCACCGTCATTCTTCCCCTCACTCCATCCAGATTGCCTTTTACTTCACCCTGTGCCGCTGGTCCCCCCTTGCCTCACCACAACGCGAGATTATAGGTTCGTAATAGGTTTGTGATATGTCCGTAATACGTCCGTGATAGGTCCGTGTCCCTTGCACTCCTATGCTTGTTCTCAACAGCTCTCTGCCTTTTGTTCCTCTCTTTGTGCTTTCATTGGCTCTTTGGTATCTTGTTTCCTTTTCTAATCTTGTTTCTCGTTCTTCTCTTTCCTGTTTTATCTTCTCTTCGTTCTCCTGTCCTCCTCATTCCCTCTTCGGTCTCTTCTCTTCCTCCTCTCCCTATGCATGCACCATGGCAGGAGGAACATGTCTGGTGTCAGCTTCACGGCTGGTGCTGGTGCTCCTTGGCCCAGTGTGCTCCCCTATGCTTGTTCGCCGTCACGACTCTTTGGCACTTGTTTCTCTTCTCTTCCTCCTCTCCCTATGCATGCACCATGGCAGGAGGAACATGTCTGGCTGTCAGCTTCACGGCTGGTGCTGGTGCTCCTTGGCCCAGTGTGCTCCCCTATGCTTGTTCGCCGTCACGACTCTTTGGCACTTGTTTCTCTTCTCTTCCTCCTCTCCCTATGCATGCACCATGGCAGGAGGAACATGTCTGGCTGTCAGCTTCACGGCTGGTGCTGGTGCTCCTTGGCCCAGTGTGCTCCCCTATGCTTGTTCGCTGTCACGACTCTTTGGCACTTGTTTCTCTTCTCTTCCTCCTCTCCCTATGCATGCACCATGGCAGGAGGAACATGTCTGGCTGTCAGCTTCACGGCTGGTGCTGGTGCTCCTTGGCCCAGTGTGCTCCCCTATGCTTGTTCGCCGTCACGACTCTTTGGCACTTGTTTCTCTTCTCTTCCTCCTCTCCCTATGCATGCACCATGGCAGGAGGAACATGTCTGGCTGTCAGCTTCACGGCTGGTGCTGGTGCTCCTTAGCCCAGTGTGCTCCCCTATGCTTGTTCGCCGTCACGACTCTTTGGCACTTGTTTCTCTTCTCTTCCTCCTCTCCCTATGCATGCACCATGGCAGGAGGAACATGTCTGGCTGTCAGCTTCACGGCTGGTGCTGGTGCTCCTTGGCCCAGTGTGCTCCCCTATGCTTGTTCGCCGTCACGACTCTTTGGCACTTGTTTCTCTTCTCTTCCTCCTCTCCCTATGCATGCACCATGGCAGGAGGAACATGTCTGGCTGTCAGCTTCACGGCTGGTGCTCTCCTACAGTGGTTGATTCAGGTCAGGTGCACCCGTGTTCTTGTGCTCTTGTATGCTTTCAGGGTGTTTTTGTTCACGTTCAGGTGCACTCTACAAGTCATAATTATCTGTTGTTCAAACCCTTCCCTGCCTATCACTTTCACTCCTCAACCCTCCTCAGGCTATTCCTACCTCCTGCGCACTCTTCAACCCCCATCTGTCTATTCCTATCCCAGCTTGCAGCTGAAATCTGCTCAGCACCAGCACCACAGCGAGTGGCAGCGACGGCACCTCCGGAAGCAGCAAAATCAGCAGTACAAGTGGTGGTAACAACAGCACAACCAGAGGATTTATCATCAGCAGCAGCAGCAGCACCGGCAGCAGCACCGCCAGCAGAAGCAAAAACAGCAACAGCACCACCACCACCACCAACAACAGCAAAAACAGCAGCACCACTGGCACCATCACCATCAGCAGAAACAACAGCAGCAACAGCGGCAGCATCACCAGCAACACCAGCAACGGCTTCTCATGCCCCCAGCTGGCTTCCTCTAACCGCACTCTTCGCCCGACACAGCGAGCAACTGAGAGAGGTGAGCAGCTGCGAAATCAAAATCCTTTTTTTTTTTTTTTTTTTTTCCCCTCTCATTTGATGCTTCTCTCCCTTCATCCGTTTCTTGCCCTCTGATCTGATCTCTTCTCCTGTCCGCTCTGTCTCTTTCTCTCCCCACCAGGTCTTTGGCGTTCTGATTCCAGCAACCGTCGCATCCGGCATGCTTCAGATTGCCACTTTCACCGATCTTTACTTTGCCTCCTTCCTACCCGGCACCGCTGCTGCTCTTGGCTGTGAGTGCTGTGTGCCGGTCTATTCATTGTTCAAATCACCGAATGCTTTCAAATCACCGAATGCTTTCAAATCACCGAATGCGTTCAAATCACCGAATGCGTTCAAATCACCGAATGCGTTCAAATCACCGAATGCGTTCAAATCACCGAATGCTTTCAAATCACCGAATGCTTTCAAATCACCGAATGCTTTCAAATCACCGAATGCTTTTTCAAATCACCGAATGCTTTCAAATCACCGAATGCGTTCAAATCACCGAATGCGGTCAAATCACCGAATGCGTTCGAATCACCGAATGCGTTCAAATCACCGAATGCGTTCAAATCACCGAATGCTTTCAAATCACCGAATGCGTTCAAATCACCGAATGCTTTCAAATCACCGAATGCGTTCAAATCACCGAATGCTTTCAAATCACCGAATGCTTTCAAATCACCGAATGCTTTCAAATCACCGAATGCGTTCAAATCACCGAATGCGTTCAAATCACCGAATGCGTTCAAATCACCGAATGCTTTCAAATCACCGAATGCTTTCAAATCACCGAATGCTTTTTCAAATCACCGAATGCTTTCAAATCACCGAATGCTTTCAAATCACCGAATGCGTTCAAATCACCGAATGCGTTCAAATCACCGAATGCGTTCAAATCACCGAATGCGTTCAAATCACCGAATGCTTTCAAATCACCGAATGCGTTCAAATCACCGAATGCTTTCAAATCACCGAATGCGTTCAAATCACCGAATGCTTTCAAATCACCGAATGCTTTCAAATCACCGAATGCTTTCAAATCACCGAATGCGTTCAAATCACCGAATGCGTTCAAATCACCGAATGCATTCAAATCACCGAATGCTTTCAAATCACCGAATGCGTTCAAATCACCGAATGCTTTCAAATCACCGAATGCTTTCAAATCACCGAATGCTTTCAAATCACCGAATGCGTTCAAATCACCGAATGCGTTCAAATCACCGAATGCTTTCAAATCACCGAATGCGTTCAAATCACCGAATGCTTTCAAATCACCGAATGCTTTCAACTCACCGAATGCTTTCAAATCACCGAATGCGTTCAAATCACCGAATGCGTTCAAATCACCGAATGCGTTCAAATCACCGAATGCGTTCAAATCACCGAATGCGTTCAAATCACCGAATGCTTTCAAATCACCGAATGCTTTCAAATCACCGAATGCTTTCAAATCACCGAATGCTTTCAAATCACCGAATGCTCTCAAATCACCGAATGCTCTCAAATCACCGAATGCTTTCAAATCACCGAATGCTTTCAAATCACCGAATGCTTTCAAATCACCGAATGCTTTCAAATCACCGAATGCTTTCAAATCACCGAATGCTTTCAAATCACCGAATGCTTTCAAATCACCGAATGCTTTCAAATCACCGAATGCTTTCAAATCACCGAATGCTTTCAAATCACCGAATGCTTTCAAATCACCGAATGCTTTCAAATCACCGAATGCGTTCAAATCACCGAATGCTTTCAAATCACCGAATGCTTTCAAATCACCGAATGCGTTCAAATCACCGAATGCTTTCAAATCACCGAATGCGTTCAAATCACCGAATGCTTTCAAATCACCGAATGCTTTCAAATCACCGAATGCTTTCAAATCACCGAATGCGTTCAAATCACCGAATGCGTTCAAATCACCGAATGCATTCAAATCACCGAATGCTTTCAAATCACCGAATGCGTTCAAATCACCGAATGCTTTCAAATCACCGAATGCTTTCAAATCACCGAATGCTTTCAAATCACCGAATGCGTTCAAATCACCGAATGCGTTCAAATCACCGAATGCTTTCAAATCACCGAATGCGTTCAAATCACCGAATGCTTTCAAATCACCGAATGCTTTCAAATCACCGAATGCTTTCAAATCACCGAATGCGTTCATATCACCGAATGCGTTCAAATCACCGAATGCGTTCAAATCACCGAATGCGTTCAAATCACCGAATGCGTTCAAATCACCGAATGCTTTCAAATCACCGAATGCTTTCAAATCACCGAATGCTTTCAAATCACCGAATGCTTTCAAATCACCGAATGCTTTCAAATCACCGAATGCTTTCAAATCACCGAATGCGTTCAAATCACCGAATGCGTTCAAATCACCGAATGCTTTCAAATCACCGAATGCGTTCAAATCACCGAATGCTTTCAAATCACCGAATGCTTTCAAATCACCGAATGCTTTCAAATCACCGAATGCGTTCAAATCACCGAATGCGTTCAAATCACCGAATGCGTTCAAATCACCGAATGCGTTCAAATCACCGAATGCTTTCAAATCACCGAATGCTTTCAAATCACCGAATGCTTTCAAATCACCGAATGCGTTCAAATCACCGAATGCGTTCAAATCACCGAATGCGTTCAAATCACCGAATGCGTTCAAATCACCGAATGCGTTCAAATCACCGAATGCTTTCAAATCACCGAATGCTTTCAAATCACCGAATGCTTTCAAATCACCGAATGCTTTCAAATCACCGAATGCTTTCAAATCACCGAATGCTTTCAAATCACCGAATGCTTTCAAATCACCGAATGCTTTCAAATCACCGAATGCGTTCAAATCACCGAATGCGTTCAAATCACCGAATGCGTTCAAATCACCGAATGCGTTCAAATCACCGAATGCTTTCAAATCACCGAATGCGTTCAAATCACCGAATGCTTTCAAATCACCGAATGCTTTCAAATCACCGAATGCTTTCAAATCACCGAATGCGTTCAAATCACCGAATGCGTTCAAATCACCGAATGCATTCAAATCACCGAATGCTTTCAAATCACCGAATGCGTTCAAATCACCGAATTCTTTCAAATCACCGAATGCTTTCAAATCACCGAATGCTTTCAAATCACCGAATGCGTTCAAATCACCGAATGCGTTCAAATCACCGAATGCTTTCAAATCACCGAATGCGTTCAAATCACCGAATGCTTTCAAATCACCGAATGCTTTCAAATCACCGAATGCTTTCAAATCACCGAATGCGTTCAAATCACCGAATGCGTTCAAATCACCGAATGCGTTCAAATCACCGAATGCGTTCAAATCACCGAATGCGTTCAAATCACCGAATGCTTTCAAATCACCGAATGCTTTCAAATCACTGAATGCTTTCAAATCACCGAATGCTTTCAAATCACCGAATGCTTTCAAATCACCGAATGCTTTCAAATCACCGAATGCTTTCAAATCACCGAATGCTTTCAAATCACCGAATGCTTTCAAATCACCGAATGCTTTCAAATCACCGAATGCTTTCAAATCACCGAATGCTTTCAAATCACCGAATGCTTTCAAATCACCGAATGCTTTCAAATCACCGAATGCTTTCAAATCACCGAATGCGTTCAAATCACCGAATGCGTTCAAATCACCGAATGCATTCAAATCACCGAATGCTTTCAAATCACCGAATGCTTTCAAATCACCGAATTCTTTCAAATCACCGAATGCTTTCAAATCACCGAATGCTTTCAAATCACCGAATGCGTTCAAATCACCGAATGCGTTCAAATCACCGAATGCTTTCAAATCACCGAATGCGTTCAAATCACCGAATGCTTTCAAATCACCGAATGCTTTCAAATCACCGAATGCTTTCAAATCACCGAATGCGTTCAAATCACCGAATGCGTTCAAATCACCGAATGCGTTCAAATCACCGAATGCGTTCAAATCACCGAATGCGTTCAAATCACCGAATGCTTTCAAATCACCGAATGCTTTCAAATCACCCAATGCTTTCAAATCACCGAATGCTTTCAAATCACCGAATGCTTTCAAATCACCGAATGCTTTCAAATCACCGAATGCTTTCAAATCACCGAATGCTTTCAAATCACCGAATGCTTTCAAATCACCGAATGCTTTCAAATCACCGAATGCTTTCAAATCACCGAATGCTTTCAAATCACCGAATGCTTTCAAATCACCGAATGCTTTCAAATCACCGAATGCTTTCAAATCACCGAATGCGTTCAAATCACCGAATGCGTTCAAATCACCGAATGCTTTCAAATCACCGAATGCGTTCAAATCACCGAATGCTTTCAAATCACCGAATGCGTTCAAATCACCGAATGCTTTCAAATCACCGAATGCTTTCAAATCACCGAATGCTTTCAAATCACCGAATGCGTTCAAATCACCGAATGCGTTCAAATCACCGAATGCATTCAAATCACCGAATGCTTTCAAATCACCGAATGCGTTCAAATCACCGAATGCTTTCAAATCACCGAATGCTTTCAAATCACCGAATGCTTTCAAATCACCGAATGCGTTCAAATCACCGAATGCGTTCAAATCACCGAATGCTTTCAAATCACCGAATGCGTTCAAATCACCGAATGCTTTCAAATCACCGAATGCTTTCAAATCACCGAATGCTTTCAAATCACCGAATGCGTTCAAATCACCGAATGCGTTCAAATCACCGAATGCGTTCAAATCACCGAATGCGTTCAAATCACCGAATGCGTTCAAATCACCGAATGCTTTCAAATCACCGAATGCTTTCAAATCACCGAATGCTTTCAAATCACCGAATGCTTTCAAATCACCGAATGCTCTCAAATCACCGAATGCTTTCAAATCACCGAATGCGTTCAAATCACCGAATGCTTTCAAATCACCGAATGCTTTCAAATCACCGAATGCTTTCAAATCACCGAATGCTTTCAAATCACCGAATGCTTTCAAATCACCGAATGCTTTCAAATCACCGAATGCTTTCAAATCACCGAATGCTTTCAAATCACCGAATGCTTTCAAATCACCGAATGCTTTCAAATCACCGAATGCTTTCAAATCACCGAATGCGTTCAAATCACCGAATGCGTTCAAATCACCGAATGCTTTCAAATCACCGAATGCGTTCAAATCACCGAATGCTTTCAAATCACCGAATGCGTTCAAATCACCGAATGCTTTCAAATCACCGAATGC